GCTCTCTGAGCTTAGAGAGAGGAAGATTTAGGACAGTCAGAGTCAACAGAGGAAATGGGAAAAGAAGCATCTTAATGGTATCAAACCTGGCATTATACTTAGGTGGAAGAATCATGACTGCCGAAAGGGAAAAAAGCGTGCTAAAAGTAGAGTAGCCGAGTACTGAAAGAAAGACAACTATTTAACACTTCTTTTCTAATCCAACTTGAGTTTTGCTCCAGGCCCCCAAGAAGGTGTCTGTTAAAGTGATGCCAACCAAAAGGACACCTGTCATGAATGTGAAATGCTGCAGATGGCAAGGAATGGCAAATCTAGGCAATGAATAAGGAGCTTTGCTATGCTTTGTGTGCCTTTGGCTTCAAGTCTTTGGGAGATAAAAATGGTTTCTCCAAAGCTGGCTTGGGACAAGTGGTGCCCTGTGTAGGAATTTATCTTTCAATGGATTTAAAATCCTTACCTTTACTTAGTCTTTAACTCTTTCAGTTTCTATATAATTTAATTCTTTAATGGATTTTTTTTGAAATAAAATTTTTTTACCTTCATACTTTGACTGTTCTATTAGTTTTTTAAGTTTTTTTTTTTTTAAGAATACAGTAATGGCTAAAGCCCATCTTTCTCTGTCTCTCATTTTTTTCTATAATTAAAACAATGTCAAATGCTGTAGAATATAGATTATGAATTATGATATGTTATTCTTCCCAGTTGATGTTAACATGGAGAGATATGAATAACCAAAATTTTAATGTTGTTCAAATCCAATTTCAAATTTATTGTTAGGTATTTTAAGTATCTTCTCCACCTTTATTCAGGTGATGCAGGTGTTCAAATGTAGCAACCTTCTCCCATCACCTGCTGTTTAAATCTTAGTTCACCACACAACCTCTCCTCACTTTCTGGAAAACAATTGCTACAATATTGATGACATAGTATGTAATTAGAGCTATAACTTCTAATAAACAACATTAACCTGTATTAGGCATGCATAGGTAGGCTTCTCAAAGGACTGGACAGCACTGGGTTCATTGAAAAAACCTGGTCATTTTAGTGTAAAACATGTAAGATGTTATTCTTCCTCTTTGCTTAAGGAGAGATCTGTATTAATATTATACATATCCACTGCACTCTGTTGTTTGCTTTTAACTTTGCCCGTTCTCTGGGAAATTTCTGATCACAGTGATATGGATTTCATAATACTGGATGAAATAAAAATGTCCAGGGGTGTCTGAAGTATCTTATTGTTATGTCATGATTCCCAGCGAAGGAATTTGGGGGTCTTATAAAGACTGGATAAAAAGATATTTAGATATTTTCCTCCTTTAATTAATATGTTTGAGCTTTTTCTCTCTTTTCCCTATAATAATAATTTGGTATTATTTAGTACAATATACTAAAAAATGTTAGTAATGCAAACTGTGTGAATACTTCATTGTTAATATGTAACTTCTTGCCTATAATTATTGAAGTAGAAATTTAACCATTGTTTTTCAGTTAGGATGCATTTAAATCAGTATATTTCACAGAAGCTATTCATTTAACTTAGGGAATCAATAGAGAATGCTTTCATTATTGCAATATGAAAAAAATTGTTAAAGAGTAAAAAACCTGAGATTTTTAGAGGAAATCATTATTATTACCTCTATTCCATTATGAGGTTAATAATGAAACCCTAGGTAAACTGACAACACCGTGATGGATATTCTGAAGGGCAATTTTCCCAAAGCTCAGTGCATACTAACCTGGTCCACAGAAATTAGAGAATGGGAGCCCTTAGCCAAGATACCCTACTGCCATCAAGCAACCAGGAACGGCTGCAAGCAGTGGCAGTCCCTGTAAAGGATGGCATGAGTCAAAACTCAGAAAACAAACAATGGTAGACACTGTGTACAAAGAACTTCAGGTGCCTCATCATTGTTTGGTGAATCATGCTCCTGTATACTTGATGGTATCATGGAACCATGAGGCTTTCAGTTTTCAGTTATTATTGATCTCTCAGAGATTAAAAACAATAATGATACATCAAAATAAGCTCTGAAATATTTGCAATTTCAAAAATAGAATTATTTTAGGAACATAACTTGATTATATTTTAACCAAGCATATTTATAATTATTCATCTGTATGCTGACCGGTTCCTGTCAAAATGGAAGGCTAAGTTGGTATGAAAATTTAGCCTCTCATGTAAATTCAGAAATGCTTGGTAAAACATAACGAATCCCTGGATGCCATAAATCAAGTGGGACTTCCAAGTTTGTATTACTCTATTTTCACATTGCTATAAAGAACTACCTGAGATTGGGTAATTTATAAAGAAAAGAGATATAATTGACTCACAGTTCTGCATGTCCAGGGAAGCCTCAGGAAACTTACAATCATGGGGGAAAGTGAAGGGGAAGCAAGGACTTTCTTCACATGGCAGCAGGAGAGAGAGGTGTAGGCAAACGGTAACTGGTCCAGAACCTGGGCAACTCCTAGGACCCCCATGAGGGCAAATGTACTCCAGGGATGGTTTCCTAACCAGGGCTTCTTGACTATCTAAAGAAATTCAAATTACCAAAATTACTCAAAATAGAAAATTTAAAAGCACACAAAATAACTAAAGAACATCATGAGGGAGATACATGAGGGAGAATCAGCAAATACAAGCAACGCAATATTTAATAAGGGGTGACCATAACAACTCTGAAATATGTTAAACATTATAATGAGTTATAGATATTATAAGACAAGATTTGAAAAAGAGCCAAGTAGACCTAGAAGTGAAGAGTCAATTAAGGTATTTACTTCAATTACCATGTTAAACATACTAATATGCATTTAAAGAAAAATAAGCTAATTGACAGGCTTAAAGCAAAAACCATCCAGAACACAGTATAAAGAGACCAAAATATAAAGATGAGTTTGAGATAAATGGGAGAGGATTTGAGAGGGTCCAAAATACACTCATGCTTCACTTAACTATGGGGAGGCAGTCTGAGAAACACATCAGTAGGTGATTTCATCATTATGTAAGCATTAAAGTGTATATACATGAACCTAGATAGTATAGCCCACTACATACCTAGGCTATATGGTTTAGCATATTGCTGCTAGGCTACAAACCTATGTAACATGTTACTGTATTGAATACTGTAGGCAATTGTAACACAATGGTATTTATGTGTCTAAACATAGAAAAGGCGTTGTAAAAATACATTATAAATGATAAAAAGTGGAACATCTGTATTGCACACTTGCCAAGAATGGAGTTTGCAGGACTGGAGGTTTCTCTGGGTGAATCAATGAGTGAGTGGTGAGTGAATGCGAAGAACTAAGGATATTACTGTACACTACTGTAGACTTTCGGCTACATTAAGTTTATGTTTTTTTTCTTTCTTCAACAATAAATTAACCTTAGCTTACTGTAGCTTTTTTATTTTATAAGCTTTTTAATTTTGAAAATTTTTTGACTCTTTTCTAGGAAGATGTAGCTTGAAACACAAATGCATTATAGAGCCGTACAAAATATTTTTACACCATTATCCTATAAATTTTTTCTATTTCAGGTTTTTATTTTTTATTTATTATACTCATTAAGCTTTTTTTATTAAACACTAAGACAAAAACACACACATTAGCTTAGGCCTACATATAGTCAAGATCATTAAGACATTAGTGGGTGACAGGAATATTTTTAGCTCCATTATAATCTTATGGGACCCCTGTCATATATTTGGTTCATCATCAACTGAAACATCATTGTGTGGCACATTACTATATATTTAATAGAAGCTCAATAATAGGAGATTAGATATATTGGGAGATTGGGAGAAAAGCAGCATTTGAAGAGATAGTCATGTAAGATTTTTCAGAATAGATGCATACTCAGAGTAAAGGAACATACCAATTCCCCCCCTCAAAAAAATAAATAAATAAATAAAAAGAAATCTACCCCGAGGCACATCATAGTGAAATTACAGAATGTCATGGAGATAAACTTTCAATGTTAACCAGATTTGAAGACAGATGATCCTCCAAGTTATGACATTTAGGCCACCACCAACAAAAGCCAGGGTCTGTGGGATAGCATCTGCAAAAGACAGAAATGCCATTAACCTGGAATTCTGTGTCTAGTTGAACTCTTACTGAAGAATGAGAACATGATAAAAACACTCAGACAACATCCAAGACAGCAAGGTCTGAAAAACTACCAAAACCTTTACTTTAGTAAGAAGGAAACTAGGGAGCAGGCGGAAATGGCAAGTTACTAATCAGCATGAAGTTTCAGTTAAACAAGATGAATAAGTTTGAGAGATCTGCCATACAACATTGCACCTATAGCCAACAATACTGTATTGTGCACTGACAAATGTGTTCAAAGCATAGATTTCATGTTAAATGTTCTTACGACAATGAGATAAAATTTTTAAAAATGAGAGAAACTAAATCCAGATGAAAGGATTGAAATACAGGAGCCAATGACAAAGAAACAATATTAATTTGCTCTTTAATTTAAACAATTCTAAAAACCCAGTCAGCTTTATTCTCAAATCGTAAAAGCTTTGATATACGTTTATTTTTATAAAACAATACTGTAAGGAGATATCTGTTGTTTAAGTTTGCTTTAAATAAACAGAAATAACAACGATGCTGGCATGTTTGATTAAAATGGGAAGTATACACAGAATGAAATGTTATGTAACCTTGCATAATTTTTGATGTCATGTTATAATGCTTATGTTAAGAAAATGAGAAGAAAAACCAGCATGTAAAACATCATTTTCACTATTATGTGGGCCGAGTAAAAAAACGTAGGAAAAATATTGCATGACAATTTATCAAAAATACTAAAAATTATTTATTTGGTGGCATAATGATATTTTTCCTTTTTGTTTATACTTTTCAGAATCCTATCATGGACATAAACTTCTTTAATAATAAACTTCAAGATACTAAACACATAAATATTTTATTTTAATAAATTTTGAGTTTCATTAAATAAACACCATGTTTATGTTTTGCAGGCAAATCTCTCCTCACCATCTTCTACAGTATCTGAGAGTCAACTGGTATGTATCTTCTAAGTCACAGATCTACTTCTATAAATTCTGATCTCTCAAGAGAGCTTTATTTGAGTAAAAGTGAAAAAAAGAATACATTTACTATATCTATTTTTATTCACTTACTTGTCTAATAAAATTTTATTTATACTTTTCTAAAGCTCCATGGTGATTGGTTGCAGGTGACAAACATACCTGAAACCATACATAGACCCTACTTGCCAGTAACTTACATCCAAGTAGCGGCATTAGAAGAGATGGAGTGAGGTCAGATGAAAGATACCATTGGAATTTAGAGAAGAGTTCACTCTTTAAAGGAAGAGACCCAAAAAGAGTTTAAGGAGAAGGTCATGATTGAATAGGATAGTTTTTGGATTTGAGGAAATAAGAAATAGATATTTCACACAGGATAATCAAGACACAAATGGTCTAGATTAGTACTGAGCAATAGAAATACAACATGAATGATAAATGCAAGCCACATATGTAATTTTAAAATTTCTAGTAGCCGCATTAAAAAAGTAAAATGGAACAGGTAATGTTAATTTCCACAAAATATTTTATTTAATGTTATACAAATATTATCATTGCAATGGATAAGCCGTATAAAACTTGAGATAGTTTTACATTCCTTTTTGTGGGGAAAAGTCTTTGAACTACTGCATATTTCACATTTGTAGCGAATCTCATTTCTGCTTAATCACAAGGGCTCAACAGTGGGACTGGTGACTACATTGGGCAGCACAGACCCAGACTCTAGAATGATTTTATAAAATGAGATTTAGTGAAACAACTAATCGTGAATATAATATAAAAATTTGTATATAAAATTTAATTAAATAGGAAAATTATTTTCTCTTATAGCATTTTGTATTTCTTATTCTCCCAGTGGTTAGCAAATTGAAGTCCTGAAATAAGTTTCCTAGATAACACTGATCAAATATTTTCTTAATATCTTTTGATGTTTATTGTCTAAAATTGTAAATTCCTGAATAATAGATATCTTCACTAAAATTAATGGAAATTTCTAGTAGAACAGTTTGAACTCATTTTTTTTCTTTTAAAGAAATTGTTTTGGTATCCTGTAGTCACAGCCAACAAATCATCTTGAAATTATCATCCTAATAAAAATAATTATATTATCTGTAATACTGAGAAATCATAAAAACCATTGTTTGACTTTGAAAATAGCTTGATTCAATCAATCCACTTGGGTATACTGGTGTTTATATATATATAGTTTGTATATATGGGGTGTGTTTGAGTGTGTGTGTGTGATTTTAATGTCAATTAGTTTAGAACAGTGGGGGACAATATAGTATACTTGAAAGAACGCTGGGATGAGTATCAGAAGGCCCACTTTATACTTCCTGCTCTGACGTTAACTAATGGACTGACAGTAGGTAAGTCACAAATCTGAGAGTCTGGATCTCAGTTTCCTAATTGAACAATGAGAGCATTCTATTGCATACTTTCCAAGCTCTTCCACGGCTGTGAATCGATGGTCACTAACACAGTGAAGATGAAGAATTTGCCATGGAAACAAGCACTGCAGTAGCATAATGAAGTTGAATGACTTCCCACTTTAGATATGGAAATATTACTACAATTATTTTAATATTTAAAATGATATATTTGTTTATTTAGAGTAATATATGGAAATCAAGAATGTTTTAAACATTCTCATATATAGTTTCACTCAGCATAGTTTATAAAATACAGATTTTAGATGTTGGTGGACTGCATATACATGTGCAGGTATATATTTTATATATACACGTAGGTTCTTGGTTTGATATTTTAAGAAATTATTTCAAAGAGGCAAATATATATGTATAGATATATTAAAAATGATTTTATAAAATGAGATATAGTAAAACAACTCATTGTGAATGTAATAAAAAACACTTATATTTTGCCCAATAAAACAATATGTTTGTGTTCTCTGGGGGGAAAACTACAAAGCATTGCTTTGAAAAACTTTTATAATAATTTCTTTGCATTTGCTTAAGACCTTTTCTTTAAGGAGTTCAAGACATTTCTTAACCAAGTTTTAAATTAGGTTTTAATCTCAAAATGCCCTTGAGATATAGGTAGGTTTTTGAAGGGATTATTATTAAACAAGCGTATCACATTAAAAAATGAACATCTCTTTTACTGATATAATTATTTCAATCACTTGGGTTTCTATTTCACAATGTTAACCCTGTGTTTATATTAATACTACTTAAGAGTGAAATAAATCAACAGAAAATGATTGTATATAAGACATGTTATAGGGCATGTACTTCACTAAAAATTTAGAATATTTTTACTCTGAAGTAACATTTATAAAGTTATAATTTTTTCATTTTTATGAATGAATTTTCAATATTTGCCATCATGAGCTCTTTAAGTTCTGAATAATATGAGTAAGAATGCCTTTGATAAACAAAACTATGAGATCTACATAATTATATTTATATATATATATATATGTTTATAATATACATATACATATAGATGACATAGGTAATTCTGATTATATATATATACATCTTTGTTTATATGAGTATATATGTATGTATGTATAACACATAAAAACACAGTTATTGGGAATGTATGATATTTTATAGTTAAATTATATAAGCAAATATTTTATGTTTTGTGTAAAATAAACAGTTAATATATAAAATTATTTCTCATATTTTAGGAGGTAAATGTAGTAAATGTGTTGAAGAGAAAATATTTGACAAATTGCTATGGTACCACAAGCTTAATACAAATCTCAAATTGTTTTTGAGATTTGACTTTTTAAAGATATATCATTTTTTCCTGCTTTTAAATTTTTAACATGGCTTATCTGTTTGCTTGCTTTTGTTGCAAGTGTGCCAATTCAGAATTGAAAGGGAAAAAGAAGTGGAGCCGTGACCCTTTCTCTTAAAATGTTTCCATTCTTTACTTTGGAAGCTAAATGATTTAGAGTTGGATGTGGGAGACTGTTTTGGAGGCCCATGTGAAACTAGTTCACCAATCTTAGCTACTTTTCTTCTATTAAACATCACTGCAGTAGAACAGAACTGGAAATGAACTTAGAGATGAAAATATTGGAAATTCCCACCTATTCACTGGAGATTGGAATAACTACTCTGTCAACCTGAAGGGATTATTGTAAGGCTCACGTGTCATAAAATGTGGAGTGGTCAGTATATGCCTATAGACAGGAAGATGTTTTTGCCCATCAAAGTCTGTGAATGATGAAGAGAATATGAGCAGCCATTTTTACAAAGAAACAGAAGCTTACAGAGTTAAATAGATTATTTAGGATCACCAGCATTAGTGTTCATCCTTGCTTTGCGTAGCCTTTGGACAGGAATCATTATTATTGATTTTAGATAATTCAAGGAAAATAAGAAAAGATTAATTAAGGAGTTTGGAAATGGTGGCCTCTATAGAAGCATTACGTTCACTGGGTACCTCCTTTTTCTGACTCTGCCTGGTATTTGTGCACTGCCTGGAAAATGTGAGTACTTACTGAAGAGGAGGCTGGGTAGGGTCAGAGTACTGAAGTTTTCACAGCTGTGAATAGTGCTTCCTGTAGTATATTAAAAGGAGCAAGAGGCTGTAATACCAGCACTTTGGGAGGCCGAGGCGGGTGGATCACGAGGTCAAGACATCGAGACCATCCTGGTCAAAATGGTGAAACCCCGTCTCTACTAAAAATACAAAAAATTAGCTGGGCATGGTGGCGCGTGCCTGTAATCCCAGCTACTCAGGAGGCTGAGGCAGGAGAATTGCCTGAACCCAGGAGGCGGAGGTTGCCGTGAGCCGAGATTGCGCCGAGATTGTGCCATTGCACTCCAGCCTGGGTAACAAGAGCGAAACTCCGACTCAAAAAAAAAAAAAAAGGAGCAAGAGGAAAGGAAAGATCTAGGATAGGATCTAGGTTAAACCTTCACAAAACTTTCCTAGCTGTTGAGCTGAATTATCACAAAGATCTTAACAAAGGCGAGCGGGTTCTTTTTCTCTGCATAAGGCAACACACAAGTTAGGCTCCACAAGTTGGGTAAATCTTGGTTTTCTTTGGCACTAGGGGAACCTGGTTTAGATGACATTTACCTTTTGCTTTTGAAATTTCATGCCCTTACAAAATGTTCACTGTTGTTCAGGATGGAATACTTAATCTAGAGAGCACAAAACAATAGATTAAAAAAAAAAATAAGTCACATGGCTATATACAGGTAAAAGCAAGCTGCTATTTACTGGAACACTCTAAAGAAGAGTGCTTAAACTTGCAAATACTTTGTTCCTACTTCTGAGTGCCAGCTGATGTTTCCAGTTTTAGTGGTGCATGACTCATCTTTCTAAGGGCCCTAAGGTCTCAGTCATTTAGAAAATGCAGCCCTGAAAGCTTTTGTGTAGAACTGATGTCTCCTTCAAGCTCAAAGGCAGTTTCTCCTTGACTAGTTTTGCCTTGACATAACATACTTAAGTGGCACAGCACTTACCAGGTACGCCTCCTCAGGTTTGAGTCATGCTATTGTCTTTCCTTTAACCATTGAAATATTTCAATCTGGCCAATCTGTATTGTGTATTTTCCATGAAATGCTTCTTGAGCCAGATGGCCTTTAATTATTGAGGTCTTATGTATGTTTATTTTTATACAATTATTATAATCATTATAAACCTTTTTTTTGGAAAAACACATTAAGTAGGTACTTTTGTGAATAGCCTAGATCATTTAGAATCAATATGTCATATTTATAAGTACAAAGCATATATTCTATTTTTCCTTTCAAATTTATTTTATGCTGTTTTTTCTTTACCAAGTTTTATCATGCATGTTATCGCATTAGGTTCTCACCATCACCTTTGAGCTAGTATGGCAGGAATTGTTATTTCAATAATTCTGATGAAAAAACAGAAGTTTATATATCTAGAATGCCATGTCAATAGTCCCTTGGTAATAAGTTGTATAAAAAATCTCTTTTTTTTTTTTTACCAGTCTTGAGAGCTTTACCCTCTGCCAT